AGAGAGAGCGATCAAATCAGGGTGATCTTAAGGAAACTATTTAAATTCTTTGCACTTTAGTTTGCCGATTGGTACCATAAGGTAGTTGGGCTTGGAGACTTCGAACTGGTTTCCAATACTAATACTTTCTAAAGTATTCTCATGAATTGAGACAACAGACCATGGAGAAACAGATTAGGGGTGGCTGTGGAATTAAGAGTTCAACTTTGAAGCTGGGCATAGCGGTCCACTTCTATAACCTCAGCTACTCTGAAGGCTGAGGCAGGAGATTTGCAAGTTCAAGACCAGCCTGGGCAAACTTAGCTAGATTCTGTCTCAAAATAAAAAAAAAAAATTAAAGGATTGGGGATGTATCTTAGTAGTAGAGTGCTTGCCTAGTCTGTGCACTAGATTGATTCAGTTCCCAGTTGGGAAAAAAAGAGTTTAGTTCTTTGAAATATGTTACATTAGAGCTTTAGGTGGAAATGTCAAGAAGACTGAATATGTAAGTCTGGAGTAAAGAGAACAAGTTTGGGCTGAAGATGCAGGTTTGAAAATCACTAGCGTGCAGGTTAAGATTAAGGTTTTTTGTTTGGTTTGGTTTGGTTTGGTTTTTTCCCGGTACTGGAAATCGAACTCACAACCTTGCGCTTGCCAGGCAGGCTCTGTGCCCCTGAGGTAAATCCCCAGCCCCTAAGATTAAGGGATTGGATTTGGAGAGAACAGAGGAGGAATGTGGCTTTCCACCACTTCCTAGACCTGTTAGAACTTCAGCCTGCTCTCTCTCCTTGACCAGTTTTCCCCATAATTACCCACCATCAATCAATCAATTCATCAATCAATTAATCAACAAACTGAAAACCTATAATGAATGCTTCCCAATCTGATATCTGCATTTCTCTGTGTTCTACTTTAGGACAACAGGATTTAATGAGGACTGAACCGAGTGCTACTTCAAATTTAGCACCTTCTCCAAAGAGCCATTCTGCTAGGACGCACCCATCCCCTAAGCAAGCAGGGGAGCCAGTATTGTGACCCACACAATCACAGTTCCACCTTCCCCAGTCCATGGAAGTCTCCTTGGGGAGAGTGAGCACAGCCTGCTCATCTTTGAACCCACCCCAGCGCCTAGCACAGTGCCAAGTCAGCCAGTCTGTTAACCAGCTGATGGCCGTTCTGAAGTCGGGGTCTGAATGGTTTGGAAGAGTGGGTAAGTAATGTATGAGCCAAAACTTTGCCTTACCCTTAGTTCCCAAAGGGAAATTTACTGGGTCATGACATAAAACCTGGAAAAAACAGAAATGGGATTGGCCATATGGGACAACTACCCAAGGGCCCCTAGGGTCTCCTCTCCCTCCAATTTCTACTTTTTACTGGACGTGTGTTTGGTATACTATTACTCATCTACACCCTTCCTAAAATTTAAAGCTTCAGCAAATCATCTTCATTTGCTTTCTATTATCAGACTCCATACTTCCCACCCTCTACTCATTGTGTAAACTTCTAGAAGAAAGGAATTGTACCTGTCATGTTCCTCAAGCGAGGACTCTGTCTCAATTTGGTCATCCCCAAGCCCAATCTATGTCTGAGATTTGAGGTGCCATGGTTCATTTTCTTTTCCTTTCTTTTTTGTAGCAGGAATCGAGCTCAAGACCTTGTGCTTGCCAGGCAGGTATTATGCTGCTGAGCTATAGCCCTGGTCCTTCATTTTCATTTTGAGTCATGACTCTGTGTCTGAGTTGGGAGGAGACACAGCACTAGAAAAAAAAAAAAACTGGGGCCAGGGGTTTAGCTCAGCGGTTCAGTACCCACCTGGCAAGTGCAAGGTCCTAAGTTCGATTCCCAGTACCCCCACTAACAAAAATGAAAACAAAAATAAAACAGGTAACAAGACCTTCTGCCAACATTAAGAGCAGAAAGGAAGCCAGGCATGTGGCCCTCAGCATTCAGATGGCTGAGGTAAGAAGATCGCCAGAGTTTTAGGCCAGCCTGGGCCACACAGTGAGTTTGAGGCCAGCCTGAAACACAAAGTGAGATGTGTCTTAAAAACAAAGAGAGAGAGAGATAGATAGATAGATAGAGAGAGAGAGAGAGAGAGAGAGAGAGAGAGAGAGAGAGAGAGAGCAAAAAGGATATAAGAAGTAGTCCCATGGTACCTACTAAATATAAGGTCTTCTTGGTCCTGAACTGTCCTTAAATATATGTGGGCATTATGCCCTCCAGGCTCCTAGCTTCTGAATTATCGGGATCTGGATATACTTTTAAGATACATTCTCTGAATACTACACTTCAACCTGAGTATAGCGACATTATTTTCCAAACCGAAATTCAAACTACATAGCCCAATAAACATGAGTAAAATAGGACACAACATTTGCGTTAGACTCATTGCCTTTGCTATCTGAGCCTTGACCCCATGAATGGCATTTACATGGGCAAGGGTTGGCATTTGCTCACACATATCCTTCCCAGTCTCACTTGCCTCTGATATCCAGCAATGAGTCCAATTTCCTTTAACCACTTGGAAAAGTGGCAAATTATAGAGAACAAATGTCCCTTCCAACAGCAGGAGAGACACCTGCCTAATGAATCAGCAGTTATGCAGATGGTGGGATAGAGAAGCCAAGCAGGAAGTATCTGGAGTCGGCTTGTCCTGATGGGCAATCAGTGCCTGAGCATTTTCCTCCTCTAATCCTGCTGGGCTGGACCACGTGGCTTTCCACACAAATGTAGGTCATTTACAATGCTGTCATTGAGCTGTTATTTCTTATTGCCAAGACACTGGAAAACCTAGAGCAAATAGGAGAAATTATTTCCAAGCTGGTGCTTCTCACTTAAAGCAAAGTATCCAGATTTTAAAAGCTCTATTCTTTCGTTCTGCACTCAGAGCTATGATTATTCTTTGGTGTTGCCCAAATAGCCACTAAGTTTTTATGAATGTGCACTGAAGATGAAGCAGGGAGAGGAGGCAGGTTGGGGTCTTGTTTTTAAAGGCAGGAGTTACACAATTTACTCTTAAATGTATTTTAAAACACTATATTCACTTACAGAAAGAATCAAAATGTCATCATCTATGCCAAGGCTGGGAGAAACATTTGGCCCTTGGTTAGCCGAGAGAGAAAAATATCTACAGTATTCTGCTAATTTAATTTACCATTTTGCAGAAGTACCTCTGTTTAATTCATGAAATTTAATCACGATCATGCTGAGATTTATTGCTTCTCATTAATGTTTCCTTGAATATGAGTGCAAAGACCTAGGGTTGAGAGGAAAGAAAGATTCTTTCCAATGTACTGTAAGACTTAATTTGGACTTCATTAAATTTCATTAGTTCACTAACACAAAATTTATGACACTTACAACAGAGAGTGGGATGGTATTCAATCTTAGTTTAATCTATGAGAAAGTGATTTTTCTCTACAGGTGAATGACATTAAAAAGTCTATATGGGAAGAGCCTACATACATGATAGAATAAATATTCATCAGGTACTGTCTTTTACATATAAGTACTGTGCTAATTTTAAATTTTAAATATTTTTATTAAGAAAGTGTTAGAGACTCCCACTTGACGGAAGTTTTCTACTTTGCTTACTATTGTTTATTTATTTGTTCCCTAGCCATTTCCAAAAAAAAATTTAAGCCAACCTACAACAAAAGGCACATTTATACAGGCAAAATTGACTTTTTTTTCCTGATGACATCACACACAGAATGTTGAAGCATATTTTTACTACATTCAGAGGATATTTTGGGTAGTCTTCTAAAAATATGTGATAACTGTGAAATTCATTTTCAAGAGCTCTGGGAAGTGCTACAAAAATAGTATAGCAATGTTACTAGAAATTCCAGATTATCAGTGACATCAACAGTGTAAACATTTATTTCTGATTAACCCTAAGGGAAGCCTTTAGCTAGGCAGGGTACTCTCCAGGTGCCAGGAATCCAAGGATTCATCTTTTTTGTTTCATTATCCTGGTACTGACTTTCATCTTTGAGACACCCCAGGTCCCAGATTGCCACCAGTAGTGAGAATACTGCCCAGCCCATAGGTAAGAGTAAGACAGCAAAGACAAAAGGTCCTCCAAAGAATAAGTGACCACATACAAGCAACCTTCCTAGAAATCCCAGTAAAACATACCCTTACAATTCATTGGCCAAAATTTATTCACATAGCCACACCTTTCCACAACGGAGCTTTTGTTAATAAGGGAGAAGAAGAGAATAGATATCGATAGAATCAGCTGGTTCTTGCCTCAGATACACAGCCACTCGCTTGCACAGCTGAAATTGTAATAGAATCAGAAAGGGAGAAATAGAAAATTAGGAGTAAAGAAAATAAAACAACTGATGCAGTTGCTATGATTGAATAACAGATTTGATGTTGTGCTTCTTGACAGCCAGGGCAAAAAAGAAACAATTATTTTTACTAAATAAGCAAACATATCGATTTCTCAGAGCCAGGTGTGATGGGGCACACCTCTAATCCCAGCACTCTGGGATTAGTGATTTAGCAAGACCTTGTCTCAAAAAATAGTAACAGGCTGGGGATGTAGTTGGATACTGTTATGGTTGACACATTGTGTCAACTTTGGGGAGTCTAGAGGTTAGGCTAAGTGACTCAGCAGTTCTGCAGTTGGAGTGAAAAGCAGTTGGAGTGAAAAGGACATGCCCTTGCCTTTCTGGGATATTGTTCATTGTGTCAGTTTGAGAAGTTTAGAAGGTTAATTATGTGAATCAGCAGGAAGCCAGGGTGCTTGCAATATAAGAGAGGGAAAGAGGCTCGCTCTTCTCTGCTGCTCCTCCCTTTTGCTCTTGTTGCTTTGCTGTTCTGCCGCCATGAACAGTTTCCCTCTGCCATGTGCCACTGCAATAACCCAGACTTCAAAACAGAGCAGGGAAGGACTGGTTTTCAGCAGAGGCAGGACTCAGGGGTGTTCTCACCAGACATTGGATTGGGTTCTTTACCTAAGATTACAGAAGCCAATAGTCAAAGCAGCTAGAATGAGAGTCCAGGTCAGCCTGACTGCAAATATATTCCCAATCTTCTTTCCATTCCATGAAGATATTCATGCAAGTGCAAAATAAATGAGGTAATGTACTCTAAATAGTCTGACCTTGTCCAAATTAGACCTTAGAGTGCTTTCAGGGGTAGATGTAACATTTATTTGTGTCTTCCTTTCTGAAAAATCACCCATCTTATCTGGCTGCTGAAGATTTAAGATGAAATAGCAAAATATTAAAGATTTTCTTTCAGCAGATGTTGTATAGTATTGTTTTGCTACCTCCCCAATTGGGGGAAAACAGATAGCAAAATGGTCATACTATGTGTATTTTCTTTAAAAAGTATCTTAACTGCAAATTTTCTCCCAAAGCTTAATCTTTTAATACTTAATAGTTTAAACTAACTTTCCTCATTAATTAGTAAGATCAGTGGGGCATGGTCTTTAGGATAAAGGTAGTGGCCTCTGATCTCAGTACCCCAAGGCAGGTCAAACCTAGATTCTTGCATAGAATAGATGAGCAATAGAATTTTGTTGAAGCAAACATCCAGCATCCTTATCTGACCCTGAAAACCACTAAGAATTTGTGCTAATCTTATTGTAAGTTCAAAGCAGTAAACCCTGAAGACAATATAATTTTGTGAATAATTATCATGTGAGTGAAAGATTGCTTTACCTACTATTCTAAATTTATTTTAGGCCATAGAAAATAATAGGTTCCAAATGATAATATAATTAACACCATGACCTCCATGAAAAGACTAAATGTTCTAAAGGAGTAAACCACATTTGCAGCATGCTGTGAGCCAAGATGTGTGGAAAAGAATTTTGTTTCAATAATAACTTTGTTTTCCCGGTATTTTCCTTCATTGTCCTTCTCATTCAAGCAGCAAGACTCTCCCAGGAAGGCTGTGAGAACGCCCCCACAGCATTGTCCCGGCTTTGCTCCTAAAAACCAGAAGTCCTAGCTGGGAGGCAATGTCCTAGACAAATACTGAGAGAAGGGAGCTTTCCTTGAAGATGGAGCAAGTATTTGCCAGACACTGGGAAGGAGAAAGTGATGTGGCTACGGATGCCAGTAAGTTCTCACACAGGGGCCCAGCAGTCTGCTTCCTGGTAGATCCAGCACCAGAGAAGAGATGGAAGGTTTGTGAGACTAGGAAGCTCACTACTGTGACCGCACAGTATTAGCGAGGACACCATAGTAGCAACCTGCATGGACTGATCACTATAATACCTACTACCAAGCCTCACACATTGTCTTTCCAACAAAGTGGGAGGAACAGTTGAAGTTCTGACTTGTACTAAAAATGTATGTATGTTTGTTTATTTGTTAAGGAACTTTTGAACACAGAGCTGAATTTCCCTAAGTTAAATATGAAGCAATTGCTCCTGCTTCCCAGAGTTGAGAAGAGGGTGGGCAAACAATCATGTCATGGCTTATGGGCACTATGTGAAGGACAGTTCAGCAAATCTTACAATTATTAGAGTTATGGACCATTGGACCTTGTAACTCTACTGCTATATCAAGTTATGATGGAGTTACATCTTGATAAACCCATCATAAATTGAAAAAAGTGTGAGTCGAAAATGCATTTAAAACACCTAACCTATCAAACGTGGTAGCTTAGCAACACAGCACACTGTAGTGTCGGTTGTTTCCTTTATGATTGTGTGGCTGACTGGGGGATCACTGTCAATATCCAGCATCTAAAGGGGATCAGGCTATATATTGCCTGGGAACCTGGAAACGGTTTAAAACTCAAAAATTCAAAGTACAGTTTGTACTGAATACGTACAAACTTTCCCACCACTGTAATTTTGAAAAATCTTAAGTCAGACCATCATAAGTGGAGACTATTTATGATCAATTTGTAATAAATACTAAATCTAAGGTTCAGTAACAAGAACTTTCAGTGGAGCCTTGTTCACAATAGGAAAATATAACAGAAAATGAGAAAACTCTCCAATCCCAGGGCTGAATCAGTGTTAGGAAGGTAAAAGCTCTTTTGATCCTTAACTGAACTAGATTCCCTTTTCTACATAAAACCTGGTGACAGAAGGGTGGCCCTGCCCATGGGCTGGTGTGCACTGCTGGTGAGAGCTCGTGTGCTCAGTTCCGCCTCTCCCATCAGCCAAGGGGTGTTCAGTAAGCGTCTATTGGAATTGTCCTCAGTGTAGTCTATGATAGCTGTGCTTGTTCACTAAATAGTCTGAAAACTGATGTAATATGAGTGCAGAGAAAGAGTAGTTCTATGAAAACTGTGTTAAATGCCTAGGAAAGACCTCATGAATGAAAAGTGCTAAAGAATTGCCGTAGAATGAGATGTCAGTAAGACAACTACAAAGGAATGGGAAAACTTTATAATGATTTTGCACCAGGATTTCTTGGTAAGGTCTTTAAATTCTTATTCTGTATTAAAGACCTAGAAAGTAGAGATGTAGATGACGCTCTTAAGGGTGTGTTTAGGTTAGACAGAGGGCTGGGGCTCCAGTAGTAAAGATTGGCACAGTAGTAAAGATTGCACAGTCCTGTGCTCTGTGCAAAGACTCTAGTGAATGCATACATATGAATGTTTTCTCTTGAACTAAAATGCATAAGGTTATGTATGTAAAAATTTGTAGGACTTCACAGTCTGATTATTTGTCTATTAATGGAGCAACTGCTGAGACATTGAGTCAGAGGGAGACAACCACACATCCATAGAAATGAAGTTCTGCACCAATCAAAAGCCAATTGTAGAATATTTTTAACATAAAAAGGGCTTCACAGTCCACCGCTAAATAAAAGGATCACGTTAAAATATGCACAGCATAATTCCACTCACATAAAAAATACTAGTGTCAAAATACAAACTGCATTTTTAAAACCATTGAATTGGTGGGAATATTGAATGACACTTATTTCCTTCTTTATGTTTTGCATATTTTCTTCCATGTCTACAATAAATATTTTGTGGGAAAAGTTACAAGGAAAGTGTGATTTTGCTTAGAAAAATATATACCTGCATCCCAAGATCGAAGAAAGTAGAAGTAGCCATGTCCAAATTTCCTTTTTGTCAGTGCTATTGTTTAACTAGTGTTGGAGAATGAGTTCCCAAAATCACCTGGCAATGGTATTTGGAGGTGGAATTTTTGATGGATAATTGGGATTAGATGAGGCCATGAGGGGAGGGGCTCCAGGAAGACATTGGTGGCTTCAGAGAAGAAGTAGAACCTGAATTAGAATGCTTGCTCTATCTCATGTGATCCTTTCACTATGTTGGAAAGCAGCACAAGGTCCTCACCAGATACTGGTACCATGGTCTTAACTTCTCAGCCTGTGGAACCATGAGCCAAATAAACCTCTATTCTATATAAATTATCCAGTCTCGGGTATTTTGTGATGGCAACAGAAAACAGATTAACACAATCCAGTCATACTGGATGAAGGATCTACCATACTCCACCATGACTTCATCTTAACTAATTCCATCTATAACAACCTCATTTGTTATAAGGTCATATTAAGGTCACATTGTGGTCAAATAAGGTCACATTTTGAGGTATTGGAGGTTAGGATTTTAAGATATGAATTTTGGGGATCATAGTAGAATTCATCATAGCCAAGGCATCCCCTCTTGCCAAACTCCAGTCTGCTGGACTCAGCTCACTTTGCCTATGACACAGCCATTTACACTTCTGTCTGAAGGGCCAGTCTCCCTACTTGGCTTTGTTCAGAAAGATGTCCTAATGCCTTCCACTCATCCTGCTGCACAGGGCAGAACAGAGTAAAGGGACACCCAGAAGCTGTCCCCGTGAATACCCCATTCTGTTCTTCACAGGACTTGGTCTCAGCACACTCCAGGAAAGGTGACCTTTTTAGCAATGCAAATTACCATTTCAAATGGGAATGTCCCACTTATAGGATGCTCACTTCAAACTTAATTGAGGAAGGAAGTTCCTGGGGTTCTTCTGGTTCTACTGACTTAGGTCCTGCATCCCTATTCTGAGAACGACCCCCAGCGGCCCCGGGCCCTCAGAGTTCTGTGGTCACCTGCTAATGCACGTCCTCACCATCTTTCTGATCCCACAGATGGTCACAGTCTGCTTGCCTGTCCAGACCTGAGAGTTCAACAGGATGTCAGATGTCAGTTCTGTTCCCATTCATTCTCCTGCCTCTACAGGGCGGTAGCCTCTGGGATTGACAGGAAGGCAATCACAATGACACACACAGTGAGCCCTGAAGCCACCCAGCACCTGCTTGATTCTCCTTCTAAGGACACAGTGTCCTGCAGGCTGCCATTGGAAGCCCTGCTACTCTCCTGCAGGCAAAGCTCTTTGTCTCTGTGTTAAGTCAGCAGGAAGTAAAGGGAAAGTAAGGTCTGTCTTTTCTGGCCACATCTCCAGCGGAAAGGCGTGACTTGGGGTAGTCCCAAATGTACAGCTGCCCAGTGTCAGCATCTCTGAGTCTTCCAAACAGGCTCTGTGATCAGAGGTCATCCAGTTAAGGCCACGAGTCACTGCTGCCACTTGGGATGTTGTCCTGAGAATTCCTTTTGGGCACTGGTGGCTCAAGGGTCTCTGCACAGCCTTACTCCACAGGGCAGTGTCTTGAGGAAAAGAGATGATGTACGGCCCAGGAGTCTGCACCAAAGGCCCGGTGCATGCTCCTTCCCTGGGGTGCCCTTGAGATCACCCCACTCCCTGAGCAGCTGCACAGTGGCTGCAATTTGACCCAGCTTCCTCTTAACGGTCCAGAGCATTGAACTTCCAATGAATTGCAAAGCTCTAAACCTCTGGAATTCTTTTCTCCTTTTGGCTTGCTCAGGCTAACTGGAAAGAACATGAAGGCCATTTTTTTTGAAAGCAAATAAGACACATAAGTAGATACAGAGAAAGGAAGGGAGAAGGAGGGGAGGGTGAGGGGCTGAGAGAGAGAGAGAGAGAGAGAGAGAGAGAGAGAGAGAGAGAGAGAGAGAGAGAGATGCATAGGTATAGGCATAGATACTTGAATCAGCCTTAACCTAGAAGTGATTCATTACCTTCTAGGCTAACATCTCCTTGGGTCATACGTGTCTTGCATGAAGGATGGGAACTCATTAGCAGAAATGAACTCTACCTCTCAGACTTGTTCTCACCTCCAACTCCTGACAGCACCTCCGAGATGCGTCCTCAGTCCACCCCCAATCTGTCATGGCTGTGGAAAGGAACATTGCTTTGCCGCTATTCAGTGGCAATGATTCAAAACTTGAGCTGCGCTGTGGAACTGGTAGAAAGCAACCCATCCAGGTTTCTAAAGGTGAAGGATTATCTGGTGGAGAGGTGGCCACCTTAGGAATGTTCATAATCTAATAGCAAATAAAAATTCCTGTACATAGAATCTTGTTGATACAATAGGGTGAGGGGACCACATGGAGACCAGCTAATTATAGCATTTGGCCCAAGACCTGCACTTTGAAGTCTCTTTTCCTGTAAACAGTGACCCAGGGAAATCACCTTTCTGAACAACAAGAAAATTGAGGTTTGGAGGCTTGTCTAGATACTGGTCTCCCTGAACTATCTTGGAGACCAAAGAATGCACAGCTCCTTAAATTTCCTTTTGCCTTTCTTCTGACTTCTTTTTTGGGCTTCTCTTTTCCTCTATACTCAAATCCAATTTGACTTCTTTCCAAGCAACCAAGGTGCCCCAGAAGTTCATGAAAGGGGATTATTTTGCCTTCATCCTTGCACCCCCAGCCCAGCTCTGCCCATAGCTAGCACCCCACATTTATAAGCCCCCTTTTCTCTGCCCCATAAATCGGGGATACAAGTAGGTCTGGTTATCAATAGGCTATCTCTGTTTGAACAGCACCCAGGAATCATCAGGTAATGGCCAGGAGGTCAGCTGATAAATAACCATGTTCATACGCTTATATTTCAAAGGGAAAGAGCTTCTTTGAGAGCTTGAAGATCTTAGGCAAAGAAGCATAGTCATTCATGTGCTCTTGATTCCAGCGTGAGTCTCTTATACCAAAGTAGGTTCTTTTCTCCTCTCTCCTCTCTCTCTCTGTCTCTGTCTCTGTCTCTCTCTGTCTCTCTCTCTGTCTCTCTCTGTCTCTCTCTCTCTCTCTCTCTCTCTGTCTCTCTCTCTCTCCCTCCTCTCTCCCTCTACTAGAGACTGAACCCAGGGTCTTCTCACTAAGCTACATCACCAGCTCTTTTGCTATCTTTTACCTTGACACGGTATTTCACCAAATTGCTAAAATGCCTAGGTTGGGCTCCTTGTGATCCTCCTGTCTCATTCTCCCTGAGTTCTGCGATTACAGGTGTGTACTACCATGCACAGATAGAAGTTACTTTCTTTTAAGAGTCTGAAAGAGAAATCAAGGAAATAGAGGCAATAGGCCAAGGCCAGGAGGAAAGGGGTAGACTCTTACCAATCACACCAGACTACAAATCAGTCAAGTGTTACAGTTACAGCCAAATTGCTATCACATCATGGGATTTACTAATTTGTTTAGCAAATTTTTGGTGAGAATGTACTATTATACTAAGCACTGAGGATCCAGTAATGTGTTAGTCTGGATCTTTT